TACCAGGTTCTACTGAGCTAGTTTTTGGATGGCATTCATGATTGAAAGGCCAGTATTCATACCGGTACCATTTTGTTTCGTTCTGAGGGGAATCGGGGAATCGATTAGGTCATTCAGTCATTTTAGAAACAAGCTCTGTAGAACCTGGTACATGATGTACGAGCAAAAGTTGATAACTTCAAATCAAAGTTTAAAACTTTTTGCTCTCTGGCGGAGTCCGGTTTCAATTGTTAGGAAACTCGTAGTATTCAATTGTTACGAAACGCGTAGTACTTGGTACTGTCGCATTGCACGCCCATAATAACTTTAAAGTAAGTACCAGTTTGAAATTCACAAAGTAACTTTGGATTGACGATGAGCAATCGTAACCATTTCAGTTTTCTGGCGCTTGTTTTTGTGGTAGCACAAACAGCAAATGAAATCGTCGGGTTCTTATTGCAATCAAATGGCAACCGGGCTTCGTCCGACAGAAAGCTGAAACTAAACGCCAACCTAATCACGTTTGATCTGGATGATACCATTTTCCCTGTTGGACCGGTTGTCGCCGATGCAAACAAAGCGCTTTTTGAACACATGAAGGCGTTGGGATGCGGTACAAACCAACAGGAGTATCTTAAAACTACCAAGCAGATTCGAAGCGAATTGTCAGCAGAGAATAAGGTGATTACTTACACCGAACTGCGAAAGCGGGCTATCCGAACCGAACTTCAGAAGTTTCTAGGAGAAAACGACGTGGACGATTCCGTTGTATTTAGGTCTTATGACCTGTGGGAGGAACATCGTCATATTGCGGCTGAAACTCATCTCTACCCCGACACCGTTTCGATGCTAGAGGAGTTGAAGATCAACCACCCTGATGCGGTCATAGGAGCAATCACGAATGGAAAGGGGAATCCGCTCATGATGGATTCGATTCGAGACTATTTTGATTTTTGTGTGAGTGGCGAAGATGAGAACGTGTTCCCTCAGCGCAAACCAAGCGAAGGCATCTACAAAGTTGCCCTGGAACGTTTCAAAGAATTGTCGGAGGAAAGAACGGCCGAACCCATAAACATGGAGAACCAGTGCTGGATACACATTGGTGATGACTTGGCAAACGATGTTGGTGCCAGTGCAAAATGCGGTGCGAAAGCCATTTGGGTAGATCTGGACGACACATACGATCAGTCGGCATCTTCAAGAGATGCATCAAAGGAACAGCCAGCGTGGTCGACAGCAACAAAGGAAGAACTCGAAAAGAGAATAATGATGAATGAAAAGGCACAAGAAAATGTTTCCGAGCGAGTTGCAACCTTGACGATGATACCAGCGGCCGTGAATAGTATTACAAATTCAGTCGTTCAGACGTCAAAAATAGAATTGCCGATGCAGTCCTTTGACCAAGATAGTAGGTGAGTCAATTCAGCTACTACATATACCACTTGCCCAATGAAACATCGCGATAACAAGTTGCACACTCTCCTGAATAGTACGGTACTAATGGAGAAGTGCTAAAGTGTTGTGTGCATTACTGGCTGGCTTGCTGGCTGTTGCTGACAAGGCAGTTGCAATAGAGGGGGGAAATGGGTTATGATAACCATGAGAATTGATAAGAAAAAAGCAGTAGAGGCAACAATTCCAAATCAATGCACCTTTTTTATTACCTGAGCGCAGTTGTTCCTAACTGCTTTTAGCCTGAGTTATTGTAGCCTTGTCTTTCCTTCTTCCGTTATTGCTCTTGGACTGGTGCCATGGGACATTCTGGGCCTCTTGGCACTGTGGTGCCGGATGTTCATACCTTTGTTGTCTGAGATTGTAAGGATCTAAGTGGTCAATTATTTGAACTTTCTAAGTGTTTGCCAAAATTAGGATTTGACTAATGTGATTAGATCTATCTGTAAAATGTGTAATGGTCTGGGGTTCATGGGTTGGCCTATTGACGCTGTTGACCTATTACTGTTTTGTGACAGGTTGTCTCCATTGGAACACCTACTTGTTTGGTGGTAGGCCCGTTGTGTTCCAGTGGCACTGGGGAATGTGGGCTGTCAGTCCTAGTTCCTGCCGCTAGTAAATTGGAGCTGTTGTTGCTGTTAGAGTTTTCTGACACTCTGGTTTCCATGCGGCGGATTTCATAGGCAGCAAGGATGCCAAGGTGCTTGCGGTGCTCATATTGGCTTGGTTGGTGGCCGTTGTGCCAAACGGGGAACAGTTTGCTGCCAAGTTTGCTCTGCATGACCTCTGTGGTATTGCCTGCGGGGGATATGAGGTGCTGTTCAGGGACATGGCTGATGTGACATGCATACTGGATTCCCCTCGGAGCAGCTAGAAGCATACTTTCCACCAAAAGCTATGGTTCTGGCCATATAGTGCCTCTTCTGGTTCACAAGGTTAAACATAATATTAAGATTTTTTTATCACCTATGACATCCAGAACCTTTTCAAGTAAAGACCAGAAAGCCGTCAAAGTATATTTTCAGGCTTTTCAAGACCACATCCAACAAGCCCACCATCTCCTATCTTGACTTAACAAGCTTCTTTCCTCCCCTGTCCCCAATCACACAGAGGCCGAATATCTTGATGCTGAACTTCTTCAAGTTAGCAGAGCTGCTGAAAACAAATACAGTGTCTCACCCCACGACTACTGGAGTGTTAATCTGTATCATTTGAAACAAGAACTTTCTGTCTACAGTCAACTCCTTTGTTACAAGCAGAAGCACTTCTTGGATTGTACTGCACTACTCGCCAGAGCCACTGTATTGAGCCTTTATATCCTGTCTGGTGTCACTGTTCCACAGATCCAATCCCATATGCACTAACTCAGGCTTCAAATCAAAACTCTTCTCCAAGAATCTACAGAAAAACAAGATTTCCTTGAACAAGCCAATATTTCAATGGGTGCTGATGATCCCACTCAAGAAAAATGTTCATGACAACTTTGCCGTCAAGAGAGGAGGAATGCAGCATATTGACGTCTCTGCCACTGCTGCCAACAGGTTTAAACTGGTCCTGCCATTACACAGATACAGATCCCACTAGACTGGACATCCTTTGATCCATCTGCTCCAAATGCTACTTTGATTGACCCCAAAACAGTTATTGATCCAACTGACTGGGTGACACCAATCACAAAGAAATATCTTCAACTGAGGAACCAGAGACATTTTAGCCAGGCTGAGACAGATAAAACACCTTTCACACAGCTGTCACTGAAAACGCATTTCAATTGGAGTGCATCTACCCAAGCAGCAGAACTAGTGCTTGATGGTAGTAACTTCTCAATTGAGGTCTCAGACCACATTACTTTGCTTTTCCTCTGTCATTTGCACTGTGTCACCAATCTGGATCCCTTGCCACCTCAGGTCTCTCCTGCCAATTTTATCACCAACTTTGCCAAATGGCGAGAGTCTACTTTTGCATCCCCAAGCAGTTGTCATTTAGGTCACTATAAGATTCTCTTCAGAGATATCCATGAACAAGATGATACTGTCCTGGAAGCTCTTCAGAAAATTCAAGCCTCTATCACTCACTGCTACATTTCCATCCTCAACTACGCACTCAAGCATAGATACTCCTTCAGGCACTGGCAAACCATTGTGAATCTGATGATTTACAAAGACCCTGGCAATACCAAAATCCATAGACTTTGAGTGATACACTTTATGAAGCTGATTTTAATTTCCTCCTTGGATCCAAATGGAGAGATGTCATCCAGAAAGTCAGAGCTGAATGCACTTTGCATCCATGTCAGTTGGGTGGAGCCCCAGGCAAGGAGGGTCATTATCAGAGTCCATGCACATACACTGCAGCAAACAAACTACAAACTGAAGGTTTCCAATTGTATCACCAGTGCATCTTACAAACACTGCTCAAGGTTTCCAATCCATGGTACTGGGCAGGGCTCTGCCAACAGTACTGTCATTTGGGCTCTCATGTCTAGCAGATTGTTTGAGGTTCACAACACTGAATCTTATGGAATGACATTCTCCAGTCCAGATGGTACACTCTCATTCTCTATGTCTATCATTGGTTTTGTTGATGACTCCACTGTCATCACTGCTTCACCCCCAGATGCTTCTTGTGAGGAACTCTTGGAAAGACTTTGGTCAGATGCACAACTATGGCAGGAACTTCTCTAGTGCTCTGGAGGAAAATTGGAACTTCCAAAATGCGGTTTCCATCTCCTGTACTATGATTTCCATTACCTCTCTGAGTCTCCCCTTGATATACTTCCTTGAGTGCTTCCTACTGCTGGTGATATCTTCCTTGCTGATCCTACTGGAGGACCAGTTAGAATTGCTTCAAAGAATATTTTCACCCTGTGCAAGAATCTGGCCACCACAAGTTGCCATGCAGATCATACACAGCCCAGTTGGAAGCACTGCTTTCGAAAGCAGATTCAATTTGCTTTGCCATTCAGTGGTGCTCACCCAATCAATCTACAGCATGAATGCTCTATGACACATTGTTGTGCCCTGTCATTGAGTATCCTTTGCCTCAGTCTTTTTTGTCTTCTAGTCAATTGCTCAAGTTGGAAAGGAAATATCTTCTGTGCATTTTCTCCCTCTGTGGTTATGCCTGAAATACTGTCAGAGTTGGTGGAGCAGGATTGATTCCTCTAGAAGTCATCACTGGCAGAAGCTATATCGCTCATTTTTTGAAACATTGGGGATCCCATGACATCACAGGGAAGCTTCTTAGGACTGTCCTTGGGTGGTTTCAATTACTCTCAGGTCTCTCTCAACCAGTTCTTGAATTTCCCTCCATTGCAATCCCATATGTCCCCAGCAACTTTTTGCATTTTGTTTGGAGATATCTGACCTCTATAAAGGGCACCATCACTGCTGACACCACTTAGGTGTGGTGATAACACCATTATGGATCTTACACTTGCCAGACTCCCCAAGAATGTCTGTACACTCCACCAAATAAATTCAGTGTGCATGTATCTCAAGGTTCAATGGTTTAGAGAATTGTGTCTTCCTGGTACAAAGACACTGCTGCCCAGCATTTTCTCCCATAATTGTTTGGAACTTTCCCATCCTTCCACCAAATATCCATATCAGCCCAATCCTGACAGAGGAAGCTGGAATGCCTTTAATAAACTCCTTTGCAGTATCTCCAATGACCCTGTCTCTAACAGGGTTCCAACCACAGCTTATTGACTTGGCATCCTCCTCATGCTACTAGCCATGGTGTGTGGAATGCCTATCTGTCTAATGATCATCGCTTATGGACTTCACCAAGCCCAGGCCAATGGAGGTCCCATCTTGTTGTTCTAACTCAAAATGGACCTCCACAATCAACACATGTCTCTGGTAAATACCACCCTGGTAAACACATCACTGTTATCACATGGATAACCAAAACTGAAGGTCTTCAATATGATCCAGCCAGCGTCCACCTCCTTCTGAATGTCTGCATGCCCCTCTGTCACATCCCCAGACATGTTCTATCCTTCTACACTGTATAGATCCATGGCAACACCAACTCCTCAAGCATGTCTATTTTGAGACCAACTACTCACAAGCATTGGAAGTGCTTGCTTGAGTTATATCTCTTCTCATGGTTTCTTCAGATGGATCTGGTAAAGACAGCCACATGTCCTTTGGATGGTCTCTGGCTAATACAGCTGGGGATAGAATTGCTCATGCAAATGGCCCATGTTATGGCATTGAAAGCTCTCTTTGCGCAGATGCCACTGGCTTATTATAAGCTAGCCTTTTTGTCACTTACTTGCTTCACATCGTCACCAGTCCTGAAACCTTGATTACATGCCAAATATGGAATACATCAAGATCTCAACTTGATGAGAATAATACACAGTCTTTAACCCAAAGGACCCTCTTAAATAACAATTCATAGTATCATACTGTGTCTACTTCCACCCCCTATGTCCTTGATTCCAGTACTACTTCTACAGACAAGCTGATAGAAGGGGGTTCAGAGGAGCTACACGTGACCAGCACCAAAGAAATCAGTACTGAGACCAGTTCACGTGCAAATACATGCAAATGCCCCAGAAAATATCTTGTCCACCATGGATGGCTTATTTTCAACTGTATCTTTTTACCATGGACCAAGAAATGTCTCATGCAGAAACACATTCAACCTCTCAACCTGATGAGAACAATCTTCCATTCACATCTTCACATCCTCACTGCCCTGCCAGATTTGCAAAAAACTCTAATTCATTCCAGTTTTGGGAATGAAAAGGAAATTTTCAATATTTAATCAGTGGACTGAATGATTTGCACCTTCAACAGGATGATCACCATCTTTCATCTTTGAACTCATCTGATGCAAACATATCCAGTTTATCTTCATCATCTAGCACCACAACAACTTGCCCGACATAGGTTACATTTATCAGTGACAGCAGGGCCTTCTTCACTAGAATCCAATCCAGATGTGAATACACTAAAGTATATGCAAATGCCACTATGGCACCAGACTTTGACTTGATTGAACAGATCTTTCACACCATCCAGTCTCCATCCATCACTTCCTCCTTTTCTTGGGTCAAAGGCCACCAAGATAATGCCACAGATTTTAATCAACTTCCTCTGCCAGCTCAGTTGAATGTTGAAGCTGATGGTTATGCTGGCACCTTTCAAGCTCAGATGACAATGCCAAATTTCACCACACCTGGTTTACTACCATCATGTCCAGCAGTCCTTCAGATCCAATCTTGCTCACTAACCAGCCAATATGAGAGCACTCACTGACTCTTGTTTGATCCCCCAATATCATGCATACTTGGCTGACAGGAACAAGTGGCCATCACAGCTTGTTGCTGATATTGCCTGGAAGTCCCTGAGCATTGCCATCAATTTCATATCCAGGAAACAAGTACTGGTCACCAAATGTTGTAATCACATTCTGCCAACTGCCTCTGTCCTCAAAAGTGGAACAACCAAACACATGATCATTGTTGTCTTGGCCAGACGTCTGAAGATTCTGAGCATCTCTTTAGATGTTCTCATCCATTGCAACTCAGATGGCTACAGAAGACCATTGCCTCTGTACAAAAACAGATGTCCATCCTTGGCTTCAGGCCAGTTGCCACTGAGACTCTTGCTAGCTATCTTACAGAATGGCTAGACACTGGCACAGTTTCTCCAGAGAAATATCCTGTGTCCCATCATCCAGTTATTCATTTCCAGAGTGAAATTGGATGGCACCACATGTTTGCTGGTCATGTTTCACTCCAGTGGTTTACTGACCAAGACATTCATTCCAGCTCTCACTCCCCACCTGTACTGGGGGGCTATCTTGTGGAATTCTTTCTTGCCTCTTATATCTCATTATGGGAACAGAGAAATAAAGATCTCCATAGCCACACCCTTTCTCAGCAGCAAGCAAAGCATGGACAGTGGGCAGTAATGAAAGTCTGCACTCTTGTTTGAACTGAAACAACAGACTTGTCCGTCACATGCCCACTTATTCCCAGAAGATATGGCAACCTTCTTATCTACTGCACCTACTTCCCTGCTCACATATTACCACCAAGTATACAAGAAAACTATTCTGGTGAGTATCAGCAAAGTGTCACACTTGCCTCCGTCTCCAACACAAGCCCCATTACTCAGTATTTTCCATTTTTGCCTCATAGTAAACAACCCCCGGAGAGTGTCACACAAGATGGGCTGGTCTTTGACGTATACTCCAAGAAGAAAAGACACAAATCCTCTGCATCACCAAAGATTTCTTTGGTCTCTGCCGCAACAAAATGCACCATTCAAACTACTACTTTGAGCAAATATCTAACATAATTCCCCAGCCCACCCAAAAACCTGGTCGTGCTTCCACAGAAACTCCTCAGATGGAAGTGCCACCCCTTGGTGCAACTAGAAGCAAACTTCAACTCTGAAGCTATGGTCCTGGCCATATAGCCTCTCTTCTAGCTCACAAGGTTAAATATATTATCAAGATTTTAATTAGGGAAAGGGGATCTGCTGTAAGATGCAGATCAATCAACTGAGTGGTTTACAAGATTGTTCTCTCCCCATCAGTAACAACATAATGAAAAGAACAACAACAAGCACAGTTACAACAACACTAGCAGCTCTGGTTAAAGAAGAGTACTACAAAGATGCCAATGTGAAACTAAGCCAGTGCTTTGTGAGTATGTTGGTGCAATTGGTCATTTGCAACAAACTAATGTATCCAGTATCACTGCATTTTCAACAGTTCCTTCCCCTCCCTTTTCTGATATCACCAACAAGAAGAAAGGAGTTGCAGATAAGAATACCAACAGTGCTGAAGTGAAGACAAATAATAAGCAAAAGAATAGCAAAGAAGCTGGTAATTGTGATATTAGAAGGGATACAGCAACACAGCATCATGCTTAACTAAAACGGGACAAAAAGGACGCTGAGATGGAAAAGAAGGCATACATGGCAGTGATTTCCAAGGCGAAGCACCAAAGAGAAAATTTGCCAAAGCAGTTGTGTACATCTGTTGTCAATGCCCTTTACAAGACAAATCTAAAGGCTGATACAGTATGTAGATGCCTGCAGTTGGGCTTGGAGGATTCCCCCCCCAAAAAAGGCCCAGAGACTAGCCTCCCTGCAAAGATTGAGAAGGCTTTTATTCAAGCAATGTCATGTGTTGTTTTTTTGTTGTTCAGATATGAACCTAAGCAACCACAACTGCTCCATATGCTGTTAGCATGCCTTGAAGGTGGACCAACAGTATTAAAAGACTGACATGTGCTTATTAGGAGACTTTATAAAGTGGTATGTGATGACATAATTATTGTCACTGGTAATTCAAAGATGGAAGAAAGAAAGCCCAATGGAAAACGTATAACACGATCAACAAGTTCTTTGATTCTCTTTGTGGTAAGCTTGTTGCGCTTGGATTTGCTTGTGTTAGAATGGATGGCAAAGATGGTGATGGTGAACTTTTTTTCCTTCCAAACCAGTCAAACCACAAATTTGAATCTTGACAAGAGTGGATTGACTTTGGATGGTTGCTCCTATCGTGCAGGAGGCCAAGCACCCACAAGATAGAGGCCTACCAACAAGAATATTGCATGTGGTGCCAATTGCACAAACAAGAGGAGCTGTTGGAATCACTCTTGTTCCTGGACACAATGCCTCTGGATTTCCTCTCATCCTACACTTTCAGCTGAAGTCAACGGCAAAAGACAAAGAAGACAAGAAAATCCACACAGCTTATTACTGGAGTCTGGAAAAGGTGTCTACAGTTGCAATGTACAAGTTGAAAATAGTATTACTGTTAAATACAAGGAAACCACTGGAATGAACACTGAACAATTCTTGAAGTGTATTGAAGACAACGTAATGAAGCTGTCATTTCCACCAGATGCATCTGATTTTCTGGGTTGGCAAGTTCTTTTAATTTTGGACAGCAGTCCAGGAAGAAAATACAAAGAGTTGCTGGTCAAGCTCCATGAAAAAGGCTTTTATCTTCTTCCTGGTGTGCCTAACGCAACATATGTGACACAGCCAACCAACAGAAACTATGGACTGTTCAAATCAATGTACAGGAAAAATTGCTCATGTTGCACCATTGTAAAATTGGGGGAAAAGTCAGACAGAGTGATTTTCCACTGCTCGTCTTTGGAAAGGAAAAAATTGGTACAGACCTGTTCAACTTGAGCATGCATTTCACAACGCCTTTGCAGTTGAGAAGACAAAGGTGGTCTGGCCCAAGATTGGGATTGCACCGTTTACCAGATGGTGCCTTGATGACTAGAATGTTGCTCATAAATTTATAATGTTATACTGATCCTAAGACAGCAGATTTTGTTGAATGGGAACAAGTGAATGATGCAGCAATCCAAGTACTCAATAATGCTGGATTTAATGGAGAGATTTACCAAAGATATGCCTCAAGGCTATCAGTATCTACAACACCAGTGACAAAGGTTGGGACTAGGGAATGGAAAGATGTAATTGGAAGTATCAAATACTCTAGTAGTGAGCATTTTATTACGACCAAAGGTGATACACCAGACAGTGATGACTATTTCTTTGCAGAAGAAAGGAAGAGGCAACAGCAGTGTGTTAACGAGCTACTAGAAGCAGCAAAGAAAAAAATAAAGCAGTGAGTGGGTTAAATGCAAAGGCAACCAGAGTGATTGAGGAATTGCTATCGAAGGGGAAAGATGTGTACAAGGAGGAAGATGCCAAGTCACTTCCAATTGCAACACTCAAGCTTTTGTGCCAGTGGAAACAACAAAAGAAGATACCTACAAAGAAAGATAATGTATTTGGTATGTGGATTGAAGTGAGGAATGTCCCTCCCTTAGAGACATTCTTGAGGGACTCTGATGAAGTTCAAATGCAGAAGCTTAAGGAAGAAGAGATTACAATCAGGGACACTGCATTAGGAAGGGAAATAAATAGATAGCAAGATTGGACTCCAACCTGCCCTGCAGGGATGACTGAGGAGGAACAAGCTGCTAAAACTCTTCCTGTTTCAGTTCTTGTGGAGGCTGGTGTAAAGGGAGTGGTTGAAGAAGTCTTATACTAGGAGAGGCCCAGCAGTGAGGGCCTTAGCAGGTCCAGTAGTTAGCGTTTCATGTAAGCGTTTTATGTTAAGAGAAATCTCTTCTTGGAATTGATTATGATTTCAATGTTTATTCCATGTTGATGGTAGTGTCCAGATATAAAATTGGTTTCGCCGATTGAATTCTCAAAAAGTGAGCAGCTCAGAACTGCTCCAAAATTTGCTGTTGCTCTGCACCAGGTTCCTTTTGTAACAGGTATGCTGGTTCCATGTTAAATCTTGTGTTTTTCTTCACCTAGAGCAGCTGGTATTGATTTCTTACCACTCAGAACCTGTTACACAATATATAGAACTCCAACCTCATAGTACCATACTAATTCGTGAAGTAATGGGGGGTGATTCCTGTTATTCTAAAAATGCCAAATTTGATAGACGCACAGACCAAAAATTTAGCATTATAACAAAAAATTAGCATATTTTGAATGGGTCAAAGTTCCCCATTCACATGATGCTAGATCTACTATTACAGAGCCCACAAATCAAAGTTCGAGTCCCGCCCCTGCTGCTTGGTGTAAGATTTACTTAACAGGAGTGTTTACGTTGAACTGTAGTAAAGATTCCAGATTCCCAAAAAGTCTGAGATGAAGCCAGCTATCCTCCCTGTCTTTCCATTGAAATAGTGATTCCTGTTGTTACAAATTGCTAAATATGCTCAATCTAGTGGTTTGGCATTCTAGAATGACAGGAATCATGGAAGTCGAATAGAATAAAAAAAGTACAAAAATAGTCTTCGACTGGAATTGTCCTTCTGGAATAAGGGAGTTTGAGGGGGAGAAAAATGTAAAAACATGGTATCAACAAATTTTTAATGTAGAGCATGTACTACGTTGAATGCGTTTTTTTTCTGAGAAAATATAAAGTTACGGGAATGAGATGCCAGCATATATAACTCATTGCAGGTGGTGGCGTGTGATGTAACAAATAACAAATGAACACCCAACTTTCGACTTCCCCTGCCTGCGCACCGCAAAAGACATAATCACCCAATAAAATACTTCAAATTTCCTAAAACTTCGAGTTGATGTTGCGAATTTATTGAGACTAGATCAGTACCTATTCATTTACTGTACTGTACTCACGTCTCATATCCGCTGGAAAACAAAACCAACACAAAAACCATCCTTTTTGAACAAGGATTCCCCCTATGCCAATAAAATGACCCTCGCCGACTTCAAACATTGTTACCGCGACAGATGACCAACGCAGAAGTAAAAAAGGTCAACTTCATACGGTAACATATCATAACTTTTAGACAAGATGCCTTCTTCAAGCATCGAATCCTATTGTACATTTACGCTAGCTTCCGACGTCACCGCAGGAGGCTTGCCTTCGGAGGAGGACATAGCGAAAGACTTGGAGAGCAATGATAATAATGTACGTCTTGCCATGCTGTGGTTGAGCTCAATAGACGAGAGGAACGATGCGAAAGCAGAAAAGATGGGTGACGACATTTGTAACAATGTGTTTGCGTTTGCCGATATCTAATCGAACTTGTTCCTTTCCGTTTTTATCATTGATCCTTGTTTCTTTCGTGCTAGGTTAAAAAACACGCCCTCAAAGCCGCTATTATGGCAATGCTGGGTGGTGAGGCCATGCCGCGCATTTTAATGCAGGTCATCCGCTTTTGCATCAACTCGGACGACAAACCCCTCAAAAAATTGACCATGTTATATTGGGAAGTCGTACCAAAATATCAGGATCTCACGGGGGAAGAGCTTATACAACAAGCCGCAGGAACTTCTATTGTTCGAAAACTCCTTCCAGAAATGATTTTAGTCTGCAATGCCCTAATGAATGATCTGAACCACGCCAATGAATATGTCCGTGGAAGTATGCTGAGATTCTTGTGCAAGGTCAAGGACGAAGAGATTCTAGGTCCATTGATTCCTTCCATCAAGTCTTGTCTGACCCACAGACATTCGTATGTCCGCAAGAGCGCTGCTCTCTGCGTCTTCCACATTTCCAAGTTGCATGCTGATCACTTGATCCCCGACGGTCCTGAGCTAATAGCCCAGTTTTTGGCCAACGAGACGGACATGTGTGCTCGCCGCAACGCCTTTTTGATGCTTATCAACGAAAACGAAGAGTTCGCCTTCGAATTTCTCGGACAACATATCCAGGAAGGAATTACACAATTCGGTGATGGATTTTGCTTGTGCGTCTTGGAGCTCACCCGTAGAGTCTGTCGCCGGGATCCCAACCAAAAGTCACGATTTGTTCGCGTCCTATTCCAGATGCTCTCCAGCAACTCAGCAGCCGTGAGTTACGAGGCGTCCTGGACCTTGGTCAGTCTGTCTAATGCCCCCACAGCCATCCGTGCCGCAGCTGTCACCTACACTAACCTCCTTAACGGCCAGAATGATCACAACATTCAATTAATTGTCTTGGACCGTTTGGAAGCCCTACAAATCAAACACGGTAAGATCGTTCAAGAACTACTGATGGACATTTTGAGGGCCCTGTCTAGCCCCAACCCAGACATTTGCCAGAAAGTATTGGAAATTGCAATGGAATCGATCAATACCCGAAACGTCGGGTCGGTCATTACCACTCTCAAGCGGGAATTGCAGAAATCACTTGCCGAGGACTCTGAAAAGAGTCTAGGGACCCGTCACATGCTTGTTGCTGCCATCCATGATTGCGCAAAAAAGTTCCCCGAGGTTGCAGAATCGGTTGTTGGAATTTTGATGGAGCTCCTATCCAGTACCGACCGCACATCTCTGCAAGTGGCTATGTTTGTCCGAGCGATCATTCAGGAACACCCACCGCTTCGTCAAACTTTAGTTTCCAAGTTGTTGGATTCGCTGGAAGATATTTCATCTCCTCCGGTCATGTGTGTCGCCCTCTGGATTCTTGGAGAGTTCACTGATCCGGAAGATGCAGAAGACACTTTTGATGAAATTGTTAAGGAAGTCGGCTCCACTCCTTTCGTCGTGGAAGAAACCACCGAAGAAACTTCCGAAGAGAGCGATACGCCGAAGCTAGTGACGAAGAACGTGGTCCTAGCCGACGGAACCTACGCAACACAAACGTCCTACGCCCAGACTAATACAGCGGAAGATACCGACAAGACACCGAAACTGCGTAAAATGATTGTTGTCCACGGTGATGTGTTTGTAGCCGAAACCCTGGCGTCCTGTTTGACCAAACTAGCTTTGCAATTCCCCACTGTAGACAAGCCCCGCACGGCAAAGGTTGTCCTCATTCTTTGCGCAATTTGCAAATTGGCGGAAAGCGGTTCTACAGTTAGTATGGCCCAACGTTCCTCGGCTTCAGATTGCCAAGATCGCTGCTCGATGTGTTGTCGTGTCCTTTTGGACGAGAAATCGAGAGATTTGCTCAAGCCGATTATCATGGAAGATGGAAAGAAACAACTGGCGAATTATTTGGAGAAAGTTGCTCAGCATCAACCGCAAAAGAAGAATGTTGCCGAAGTCCCAGTTACACAGGCAGACGATTTGATTCACTTCCGTCAGCTCAAGAGCATGGCTGTGAATTCTGGTGATGTCGATTTGGACGATGGAGGTGATTTGGCCAGAGCAACTGGTTCTGAAAAATCAAGCACTCTCGCTGAGGAACTTTCTCATTGTTATCCTCTCAGTGGTTTCGCTGATCCCGTCTATGCCGAAGCTTCTGTGACTGTGCACGACTATGATATTGTGTTGAAGATTCTTATCATCAATCGCACTCCAAATACTCTGGCTGATTTGACCGTTGAGCTTTCTACCATGGGAGATATGAAAATCGTTGAACGACCTCAGGCTCACACCCTTGGCCCCAACGATCAAACAACAATTCGTGCTTCGATAAAGGTTTCTAGCACGGAAACCGGTCATATTTTTGGAACGATTGTGTACACTGACATGACAACGCAAGAACAGAAACTGATCAACCTGAACGACATTCACATGGATATCATGGATTACATTCGCCCAGCAACCTGCAGTGATGAAATGTTCCGTAGTATGTGGGCAGAGTTCGAATGGGAAAACAAGGTCGCCATTGCAACAAGTATTCCCGAATTGAGCGATTTCCTCGACCATATTGTGGAGTCCACAAAAATGAAATGTTTGACTGACCGCCCTACTGACAACAAGTCGACTTTCTTGGCTGCCAATCTATATGCCCGAAGGTATGTTTTGGTTCCGTTTTTTTTTGCTTCTTCGACATATATGTCGTACTCTCTTCCCGGTTGTCTACTCGATACCTATCGCACTATTACTTCCTGTGTCCGTTTATACCGCATAATATGTCTCGCGATATTTTGACGCCAGACGAAAAATAACCTCAACTCACTTGCGTACTCTTCCATATGTCTCCATGGTTAATTGTAGTGTGTTTGGCGAAGATGCATTGGTGAATGTTTCGGTGGAGAAGAAGGAAGATAACGACGGGAAGTTGGCTGGATACATTCGCATCCGCTCAAAGACGCAGGGAATCGCTCTAAGTTTGGGAGATCGAATCACATCAGTCCAGCGCGAAGCCGCTGACAAATAAATCTTGCTCGACTGTTTAACGTTTAACATCTTCAGTACATGATCAAATACTCGGACAATTTCGATGTTAAAAAAGTCTTAGTGAATGTTCTACTCCTAGGCAGTATGTTTGGATAAGAATCCAATGAGTAATGCGCACTCGTATGCGTCGAAAATAACGAAAACAAGCTTATAAATGAAACCTTCTTCGAGTGGTATCCATCTCTTTCCTCTTGTGGATCCATTCATACTCTCCGAACTGAGTGTCAAATGCACCTGACTGTATCCAACGCAATTTCAATGTAAATCTAGGCCCAAGCTCTTGCAGACGGGCTCTGACACGATCCTTTACCCCCATCGGTTTTTGAGGCTCGTCCTTCTCTTTTTTCTTTTCCTGAGCAATATTCTTTTTCTCTTCAAATACATAACGATGATGACGAATGAATATATAATCACGTTGATTGTGGAAAGTGACGACTTGCCGACCCTGGAATTCGGCATCATGAGGAAATACACTGCCGAGTAGTCGACCAACCCTGTGACCTAGACGGGTACCAAATCCATGAAGATTTAACTCGGGAATATGCGATGTCGAGGCGCCGTGATTGGGAATATTCTGCGAAGTGACCACGTTCGATACTTTGAAAAATGCGGTTGGCCCGAGCGTTTCCTTGTTTATTTTTCCAACATGTGAGATAGTCATGCCGTTGCAATGTTTCTCGTTTTCCGATAAAATAATCACATGTGTGAAGTCACGGTTGCAGGCAAAGTGACAGATTTCTTTGAGGGAAAATTTCTGCCTTGGATAAAAATGCAACTTCGGAATAAGCCGCTGGAGGTCGGCAATGAAAAAGAACAATCTTTTTGAAGGCCGAGGACGTGTCGTAACTAGGACTTTCGGTGGAGATTCAGACTGGAAATATCTTGCAAATTCGTCGTCGGCTTCGTCTGCAATGACTTCAGGATCGCTCATAACCATAGTAGGTTCCAATTCTCGGGTATTGTCCAGAGTCTTCGGTTTTACCTTTGGTTTCCCCCCATCTTTGTCCTTGCCCAAAGCCTCCGCTTCTTTGTTCCGAAGAAAGCGTTGCCGTTTCTTTTCATCACGCTTCTGCTGGAGATACTTTCCATACACTTCAGCTCTTTTCATACGGTTCCCGATGTGGCTAGGATTTCTAATGACTGCCGATTTCTTTTTGGCAGTATTGATGGGCTTTTTGCCCTGCAAGGAGGCATGGGGCTTCTTCCTGACCATTGTTCTATACTTTTATACTCTTGTGTGCCAAACTCCAACCTGCCTTGTGTTGGTTTGGAAAAGTAATTTTTCGTGGTAAATCCTTTCGATGAAAGCGGTTGAAGAAGTTGTGAAACAATTTCGATTCGTTCGATCGATTTTTAAGAATGTGATAGATCGATGTACTCAAATGTAGGCTGCTGAGAGCAGGATTGGTTGGAAGGTACTGTAAATGGTTTCGACGGACAGACTTCTGGAGATTTTGATCCAACTTTTTGACTTCTTGCTGTTCCACAATGGGTGATTCCCGTTAATCTAGATGGTCTACTTTTTGACAGACAGACAGACCAAAAATAGACTTTCTAGTCYAAATTTTTAGACTTTCTKTCAACGGTCCACTCCCGGCCTTACAGAAAGTCTAAATCTAGACCGGAATCCAAGAATGAAAATCCGTTGTAGGACTCAACTGAAACGACCCGCCAAATTTAAGACTTCATTAAATTTTTACTATGTTACTAAATCCTTTCTTTACGAAGAAAGCGCCTATTAAGAACAAGAAAGCGCCGGCGCCATCATGGTGGTGGGAGACATAAGAAAAGACAGAAAACACCATGTCCCCTGTCGTAGTCACTGCTCTTCTCTATCTTCGATTGAAACAAAGAGAGGAGCAACTGCTGGAGGCACTGTCTCAACAAGAGAGGACGGCTGGGAAAATCCCTCACACAATATTCATTCCGCGTGCAAAGATGCCTTCCCCTACTGGTCCGTATGCTACCATTCCTCCATGTAATGGGGGACGCTTTCCTCCATCAGCTGCATCCGCGCCAGCACCAGCTGTCCCTCCCTCGGGAGGTCAATCAAAAGTAGAGGGGTCAGGTCGTAAGGCCGGTACTGCAAACTACTCGGAAAAGGAGCTCATCACATTGATGACTCTCATCAAGGAGATCCTCCCAATTGGTAAGAGTGATTGGGACATGGTGGTTCATAGACATGGACAGAACTATCCCTATGGTAGGTCAAAGGATTCCATCAAGACCAAGTTCAATCGATTGAGGAGAATGAAGACGCCTACTGGGAATCCCAATATTCCCGAGTCGGTCCAGCTTGCAAGAGAGGCCCATCACTTGATTGGAATCAAGGCAAATATTGGTAATGGAGAGGAGACCTTTGATCCAGTCAAAGGCTTCATCAATGATGAGGATGATGAGGACTTGGAGGAGGCGTTGACTCCACCAGGAGCGAAATCAAGCAACAGAACGGCGTCGACGTCCAACGCAATGACCGACGATCTTGATACACCCATCATTGTCAAGAAGAGATCATATGGAAGGTTGAAGAAGGAAATGAATCATCAGGATGCTGTTCTTAAGGATTACCTCATGAGACAGGATAAGAGGGATGCTGATAGAGACAAGAAGGCTGATGAGAGGGAAGCCCAAAGAGAAAGACGCGAAAAAGAAAGAGATCAACGTTGGCTTACCATGGCTGAAACAATTGCCTCCTCAATGGCCTCMACAATGGCCTCCACAGTGGCGTTGGCGCTCAACAGCAGTAACAAGCGCCCACGCACTGGATCCCATGGTGACAGCAACTAATTTGGATCTTCTCGTTAGCAACGATTAACAATTACACGATTATACGGTTACGATTCAACATACAGCAGTACAGCAAACAGCAAAAAGCAAAATAATGAGCTCATCGATTAGCGATTAGCAATTAGTAGTAGTTCTTTCTTACTATGCTACGCGTTACATCGTGTTGTTCTCTATTTTGCTGATAGTAACAATGAGAACMGGGATTAGAAGTATACCAATGAAAACCGGGATTTCAACGGAATTCATAGTAAGCACGCGTTATGCAATCCCACGAACCGGGGTTCGCCTTCAAAACACATGCCAAACACATGCATTGATCGGCACTCACATGCATTGGTTGCATCATACATAATCTTCATTACATTATATTCGGATGTAGCATTGTTCCGTATTTGCGCTGAAGATATTAGTCTTCATTGCAGTATATTGCAGTTACAACGACTCCCACAAAAGGTATGCAAGAAAACCGATGTTGGTACTAGGACCACAGAAAACCACGGCCAAAATTTGGAACAACACGGTGTACCGCGTGCTAACAAGAAGGAACTGGCGCTCTGGTTTTTGCTCACTATTTCGTGTTACTGGTAAACTAAGAATGAAGCTTAAACTAAACCAACCTCAAGCAAACTAACCATCCCCGGCCGACCATGGTGGAGTCTCAGTACTGTAAGTGTGTTGCGTTGCATTGAATCGGTTCGCGTTGCGTTGCTGTGTTGAATCGTTGCTGTGTTGAATCGATACACGTTGGATCGTTGTTTTGAATCGATACGCGTTGGATCGTTTCGCGTTCGACGATTCGCGTTTTCTTTCAATCGATCCTTAATGAATCTAATGAACTGTTGTTCTTGACCATGGGAATTATTCAAAGAATGCATTGTTTCCAACTGGAGACAAGGTCCTCCCTGCATGGAAGTATCCAKSAGCAAGATCCTGAAGYYYRTGCGGCTTGTYCATYGCCTCGYGKGTCGCTGCCGGTGTCTTCATGAAGACTGTCAAGATCTGATTATGCCCAATGGTACTGCATTGGTAGTTGTACAAGTTGATCATTAAGTGAATGATCACCTTCCTCTCTCCGAAGTCCTCCAATCTAAGCCTATCCTTCATCCTTGGGAATTGCCCTTGGATCATCCTCATCCCCCACTCGGACATCTGCCTCAGCGATGTTGCATCCCTATTTAATAGGAGCCTTTCCGGATCACCCTCTGGATCTGTTTGAGAACTTTGAATTAGGAAGGGCCTTCCTAATAAGCCAAACGCTGAATCAACAACCACCTTTGCCCCTCCAGCAGCGGTACAGTCTGCATCCAATGTCTCCATCTTGTCATATATACCGTAGTCACTGATGGTACTGTCGTGCCACGTGCCAGGGCAATTGAAAGTTCCTATGCGGATCCTACCGTCAGGGGCAAAGACAAAGACCCCATTCACGTAAGTATCTCCTTTCCATCCGTTGAAGAAGACTTCCTGTATGAGCCACTCTTCTGAAGACTGGATCTCCACCTTGAGCCCATCTGCCGCTGCCCAGACTCGATGTTGTCCAAGTCTTGGATATTTTGCTGCAATTGCTCTAACATACTCATTGATTTCTTGCTTACTTGGCAGACTGACCATGGCGAGTGGATGTTTGTGAAGCACTGAAAGGAGGATCCTCATGGAAAACTTGATCCATTTGTACATGACTGTTGAAGTGAGACCAAACGCCATTGCCATTCCTCTTGCAACAGATCCTCTAGTCCTGTACCAGAAGAGCACTAGTCCAAGGCAACAAGTGGCATCTGCTTCTCTMGGCTTTCCCTTCTTTTTTCCACTCCTAGTGGGGGGAATAAGAACAACCTCATTGGTGGTCCTGTCGACTGAGTATCTGCTGAAAGCTGGACCAAACAGCTCTAGAAGATCCCTGAAGACCTTGTGGTCTACACCACAGCAGTTGAGTAGTGCTTGGTTACACCCTGAGTGAAAGAGGAAGGCAAAGGGGGAGTCCGCGTATCTCCTAATTGCAATCCTAGGCGTTCTCCTGTCCCTCCTGCGTCTCTCCTCAGGGGTCTTTTGTTGGTCTTCCCATTCCTCTTCCAAGCGACCTCTGTGCTTGATTGCCCAGTAAATGCAAAGGGTCTCAATGACACCCATTGCTGTATCCCTTTTGTTTGCTGGAAGAGAACTACTGTCTTTTGTTTAGGGAGCAGGAGGTCGATTATGAGCCCTGTTGAATTTTTACTAGTAGTATGTAGTAATTATCAAAAATTTCATGTTTTACTTGGTACTCAACAAGAAAAAGGGCGCCCGCGCGTGTTCATCCAGTCTTACAAGTCAGACTTTTAGACCATCTAGATTAACGGGAATCACCCAATGGGCAATTCCCGTTAATCTAGATGGTCTACTTTTTGACAGACAGCAGACAGACCAAAAATAGACTTTCTAGTCCGAATTTTTAGACTTTCTGTCAACGCACAATCCACCCTTGACAGAAAGTCTAAATCTAGACTGGACCAATGCGATGCCACAGTTATTTACGTAATCGATTGAGTAGCATCAAAATTACATGTATCCGTGCTCTCGAGGTTACTAATGGTGGTGCTTTACAGAGGAGGACACTCACTGATACAGAGGATGATGATGCGCATAGTACGGATGATCATGCTGCTGATACAATACGGAGGAGTGAGCCGCTGATATGATATCATGGAGGAGCAAGCCACTGATACGATACGAGGAGTTGCTGACGATGCCATACAGAGGAGAGAGCCGCTGATACGATACAGAGGAGCCACTGATATGGAGGACACTGATAAGAGTTGCTGATATGGAGGAGCCGCTGATACGATACGGATGCTGGTGTTTTGCTTGTTTTTTGCTTGTTTCCCCCCTGCAAATCAATATTTCTATGGTATTTTCTACTTGAGTTTGTACTAGAATAGCAATCAAGATCAGTTTTTAATGAAAACTGGTCACGATTTTGGTCAGTGCTTGTACTGTACTTAGTATCAGGGGTTAGAGAAGGGATTGGTTACAAGTACTGGTTACAAAATTCAGTCCGTGCGGTGTGTAACCAGCTTTTTGTGTGTGTGTACTTAAGCAAAAAATAACTAGTCTTTGTTAGTGTTAGTTTTTTGTAACGCAGTAACTGAGAGTGCGCGGGTACATGTAATTTCGGTGCTACTCAAAGGTTACGAGTACGATGCAATTCTTTCTCCTCAAAATTGTCCATTTGTCATAACGCGACAGAAGTCTAATAAACTGTCGAGATTTCATTGCCACACTACTGTACTTCTCATGATAAAAGACATATTGAAAGGCTACCACAGCAACTTACCGGAGTTCGTCCAGGACATTTTCGACGAAGATAAGGTATGGATATTGAATAGTGGAGATCGAAGTTTCGACGATCTTTTTGCTGACTGCCGCAGTTTGACCTTTGAAGATTTTTATTCTATCGTGACGGAAGGCGTTGTGTTTGTCACTCCAGACACGGCAATTTCAGGGTCCTCCGACACTCCGTCCCACCATCAATACACTATCGACATGACATTCATTTTTTCGACAACAACATGTAATGATATTAAAAGGATCCTACACATATCAGGAGTTGATGCAAAATCAACATCTCCGTCTCTCAATTTTTTACTGCGTCTCGTTTTGGAAAGTCATAGCAAAGACGAATTTACTAGCAAAAGCAGCAATGTCGGAGTAATCTTGAAATGCTTTCCTATGACGCCGCGCCAACAACTTGGATCGCTGGATCTATCCCCACCTAAAGGTAGAACAAATCTTAAACGCAAGGTCTCATCACTAGGACAATCTGCATGTTATGAGACAGAAAGCAGAATTGATCTCGAATTCCGATTTTTAGCCTTAAACAAGGCACACTGTGAATCAATTTTCTGCGGGAATAGTTCTGTTGTTTCATGTGTGAAGTTCAGCCAGTGTGAGATTGATGGGTGGAAGATACACAACGAGAAAGTCAAAGAAAAAGATCCCAACGGTACCATTTTAAGTACTGATCGAGGTGCGATGCCCAAAAAGTTACTTCTCAGCTGCACACAGAGCGAATTTCGAAAATTTGCAGAAGGAAAATTGCTGATGTTCAACAAGACAACCATCCGCGAACTGCATCTCGTGTTACACTTTATGATGGAGGATTTGGATGTACATCATTTGATATCTACCCTCGAGACGAACCAAAGTCTTGAGCATCTGAGTATCGAATACTTGGAAATGGACGACGAGGTTTGGGCAGGCGTGTGCAAAGTCCTCCACAACCATCCAAAATTAAGCTGTCTTCAGTTGGCTTATACGGAAAAGTTTGCTGACAACTATCGTCGCCTAGATTCCGAGCGCCGTCGGACTCGCACAAAGGACGTATTGGAATTGCTTAAAAAAAACAGAAACCTTCAGAAAATTCAATGGCCCAAATTCCAGCAAGATGAGACTCTGATAGCTGACGTTGAGCGACTCCTAATCGAAAACAAGAAGCGTGCTGCGGAGTCCACCTGCTATCTTGAGATAACAAGATAGTGCGTGCAACCTGCCTGTAGCAAGAAAGCCACAATGTACTCATCTTTACTCTAGTATGGTTTGATGTACATACCTATCAGGTGTAATCTACTTCTCCTAAGTTTCTTGTAGAAACAAGAGGACCGAAGGGGAAAAAACAGAGACCTTTTTTCATTGCTTTCAACAAAGCAGAACAGAGAAAGTTTTGGAGCATCAACAACTCCGACAGAAAAACCATATGTGAACTACGATTCTTAAATCGCAGGAAGCATTATATGGTGCAACTTCGCAGAAGCTTTCTGATTTGCCCCTTAAATTTTTCATTACTTTTCACATMTTCCAATGTGATTCATTGAGGGAAACCTTCCGTGCATTAGCGCAAGACAGAATTGACCGCCTCGCCTCAGAAGTATTTACTTGGTGATCATTTCAAGAGCAAGTCCCATTTGACTCACCTCAACGACAAGGTGAAAACGAGTAATTTTGTTTGGTCGATCTCAACTATCCTTTCGTTTCTTACTGTGATTTAGTGTCAATACTACGATGTAACGACCTGCGTGCATTGAATTTAAGTAAAAAAATCAGAACATTACGTATTTGCGAATCACAAAAAGTAAACTCACCAACAAGTACGAGTACGCGTAATCAAAGTAAAGAACTTCGCATTTACATCTCGAATTCCATTGTTTCTGAACCCGAATTACAAATTCTATTGTGTTGACGAACAGACGTCGCGCGACATGATGGAAAATAATTATATTGGCCATCATAAACATATTTGTGGAATATTTGTCAATGAGTCCTGAATGGAATTCCTGAATACAAGACCGAGAATATTCAGGATCATCAATGATCTCATTCTTTATTAATTTATCTAGTCAATAGGGTTAATGTTCCAAATCATTTCTCTTTAAGACTTCGCGTACTTCACATACCGCAAGATACGTCGATTCAACATAAATTAATAAAGGATAGAAAGTCGATAGCCAGTAGTCTATCGCCAGTGACAGTGTTAGTCCAAGGAGTAACACAACTGTAACTTGATCCAAGGATCATAATCAAATTGCATCCAAGGAAGCAAACATCAACATTCATTGAATGCAACAATGAGTGCTCAAAGTGAGGACTCCTCGTGGACAAAGGTCGGCAACAAACAACGCCAAGGCCGAAACAACAGCAACAACTCAAGCAAACCAGGGACGGCAAAGAAAGGAAACGACACCGGAAAGAAGTTCTCTGGTCACGACAAAGCAGAGTTAGAGGGAATAGTCCTCACCGAAGATGGGAACATCACTCAATTCACTGAATTGCTGGAACGACTCCAGACCGTCGGAGGCTCCAAATACATACCAAAAGTTGGTGTATCAATTGAAACCCTCAAGCGATTCAAAAGAGCAGACTTCGCACCCACAAAACCAACCTCCGACGAGTGGACAACGATTGAAACAAACGAAGAGGGGGAGACAAAAGAAGTGATCGACGAGGAACTGAAAGAAGTGCTCATCGACATGTACAAGGAAGAACTCAAACAAAGCGTTAAGGACCTCACAACATACACTAAAGATATGAACAAGGTGTACGCGTTGGCACTAGGACAGATCGATGATGGAATGAAGGAGAAACTCAAAAGCAACGATAGATGGGAAGTAATCAAAAAGAACCGATGCCCCGTTGAGCTACTTAAACTCTTAAGGGACATCTGTTTTCAAGGAAGCAAGACCAAGATACATACACCAACCAATCTAGCCAGGTCCCTCCGGAAGCTACTATGTTCCAGACAGCGGAGTGGAGACTGCACGGCATACGTGCAGGGAGTGATCCAGTTCAGTGAAGTACTAGAGACCATTGGCGGGGAATATATCTGTCCAGCTCTAATTAAACATGAGCTAGAGACAAACACAAAGTACAGGGATGAAGAAGAGATCACCTATGCTGACTACCTAGCAATGGCACATGACGATAAAACAAAGAAGAGGATCAACCACACGGCTTTTCAACAGTTCATAGCTGCGATCATTATTGAGGGAAGCGATGAGGAAACCAGCACTCTAAAACAGACACTGGCAAACCAGTACACTCTAGGGACGGACCAGTATCCAACAACGACCACTCAGGCCCTGGACATGTTGAACCAATTTAAAGGAACTAAGAAACCGAAGCCAAAGGGCAACAACAATAACTCCAACGGAAAGTCTCGAAGACAAAACATGACAAAGAGTGATAGCGGTGACCCCTTGGGGAATGAAAACAATCCAGAAGGGAAGGAGGCAACTACCTTCGTGAACAAAGGAGTGTCCCAAAATCAGGAAACCGCAAATCGCCAAGATGGCAAGCAGCATACCGCAAGACAAGTGTTAATGCATGCTGTTGCAAACGACAGCGACTTCGGACACGAGATGGACAACTATTTTCAGATGTGCATCGCGAACACCAGCCGAGTGCAGGATCAAACGTCTCACTGCCACGTGCAGTGGTCGCATACTGACAACTATGAAAGCAGTGACGAAGATGATGCGGAATCCTACGACAGCGAAAATAACGAGCAATCACTCGAAACACAAGGAGCAAGCGATGAAGATAGCTGCGAGTACGAAAACAGCAGCGGCGACGAGGACTGGGACTATTGGGCTGCTCGCGACGAGCAGGAGGAGGCTCTACTAAATGCACACTCTGCGGGGGTCGAATCACTACCAAACACTCTACACGGCAGCAACAGTCCTGATGCAAGCAGCTACATAGATGTAGCCTCATGCGACTCACATGACACGCAACCAGAAACCGAGGAGTGCACGGTGTTGATCGAAACGGATCACATGCAGCAAGCTGACAGACCAATGAGAATGGCACCGTCAGTATTGAATAACATCACACTCATCCGTGACGTATCCGAGCTCAACCATAAAGGGCGCTATGGGAAGTCAGTTACTGCCCTTGACCTCGCGTACAGTGACTACCAAGCGATACGATACAGGGTGGTTACATGCTTTAGATACAGCCACAACGTTCAACGACTGCTTGCACAGTCTGAGGGACGGATCAACGAGAACTGGATCCTCCTCGACAGTGAATCATCATGCAACCTCATCACAAATCCCAATTTAGTGACAAACATTCGAAAAGCACCCAATGGGAACAACATGAGCATTTACTGCAACTCCGGGAAAGCTTACACCGATCAAATAGCCGATCTACCAGGTTTTGGCGAGGTGTGGTTCTACCCAGACGGGATTGCCAGTGTACTCTCTTTGGCCCTCATCTCAGACCGCTATCGGGTAACGATGGACACGTTGGTCGATAACGCGATGCATGTACATAAAGATGATGGGTCCACCCAACGATTTGGGAGGTCACCGTGTAACTTGTATTATTATGATGTAACGAACAAGGATTCAACAGTACTAACAATAATGACCGTAAAAGGCAACAAAGAACAGTATTCAGATCTTGACGTCCGGAGAGCGGACAAGGCAAGGAAGCTGCAAGAAACAGTGGGTTTCCCCACCTCTAAGGATCTCATAAGAATGTTGGACAACAAGCTCGTGGTGAACTCAAGTGTCACGAGCCGTGATGTGTTCAACGCGGAAGCAATCTACGGGAAGCACTCCAGCGTGGTAAAAGGAAAACAGGTTCGCAACACAGGGGAACATATGAGGGAGGACCTTACAGTTGTTCCGTACTCAGTACTGGATAACTACAGAGATACAACCATACACATGGACATAATGACGGTTAACGGGATTCGATTCCTACATACAATATCCAGGCATCTAAAGTTCCGAACAGCCAGAGCAATCACAAATGCTAACAGCTCAACTATTCTTGACTGTATTAAGTCAGTTTGTGGACAGTATCGATCTCGCGGCTTTATCGTTACACAAGTATGTGGTGATAATCAGTTTGAATGCGTGAGAGACGATTTAATCCAACTTGACCCACCAGTGCAGCTACACTGTGTGGGGGCGGGACAACATGAGCCCACCGTAGAAAGAAGCATACGGACTGTTAAAGAAAATGTCCGTTGCTATTTCAATCACATCCCTTTCCGAAAGCTACCAAAGCGATGTACTATTGAGCTGGTCTACGCCGTTGTCTTCTGGCTTAACTGCAGAACAACAGGAGTGTGCAAATCAATGTCTGCACGGGAGCTAATTACTGGAATCCCATTGGATGCAAAGGAGTGTAAGTTCCAGTTTATGGAACCCATCCTTGCTCATGTGGATGACACTGACAACACAATGGCACCACGTGCAGTTGAAGCACTGTATCTAAGGCCAACAGGATCACTAACAGGTGGATTTTGGGCATATGACATGAATACAGGGAAGAGGATCCACAGAAGATCAGCAACACCCACACCGCTTACGGAGGGAATGGTGAAGCAAATCGAGGCGATTGCTAGTGAGCAACAGTGTCCGAGCGGAATCATGTTTGGTGATGGTAAAGGTGACACCACAATACTCGATCTGGACACAGCCGAAAACATGGATGACGACGACGCCTCGGACGCCAGTTACAGGGACGTTGAGGAGTCCGATGATGACTCCATAGGATCTGTCGACTCAACGGCTATCGAGGTTGACGGTGCAGAAGGAAGTATCGCGAACACACATGGATACAACGGGAATAATCTCACTGAGCATAACGCGGATGCCCCAAATGATGCCAACGGTATCAACAACGGAGTTGACCAGTTGGATCCAGTAGTGGAGGATAACGAAACCGCTGACAATGAAGGAGTGGATGACAATGAAGAGCACCCGGAGGAGGAACCTCATGCCGTGCCAACACACAGCCCAGTTAGCTCAAGACTGCGACCAACAGTTACCCGGACACACAACAAATTCGATGCCCAGGATGGTTATGAGCCAAGTACACACAGCAGGTCTTTCTTCACTGCAGGATACGCAAATGCAGTGAAGGGGCTCGGTCGCCATCATAAGGGTTTCATGTTTGTGGAGAAGGCCATAAAGCAATACAATGCTGTCAAAGCTTCCCCCGTAACCCCGCAATACGGAGTTAAGAAAGGAATAAAATTGTTTGGTGAGGCTGGTGTAAACGCGGTCCTAAAGGAGCTGCAACAAATTCACGATCGAAAGGTCCTCTCAGCACTCGATCCAAAGACCATGACAAAGGAGATGGTGCAGCAGGCCTTGCCGTATCTTATGTTCCTCTAAAGAAAGCGTGACACCTCAATCAAAGGAAGAGGCTGCACTGATGGAAGAAGACAGCGCGAGTACATTCGCAAGGAGGATGCAACATCCCCCACCGTATCGCTGTATGCACTTGTCCTCTCTTGTATTATAGATGCTATAGAGGGACGGGATGTAGCCACTGTAGATATTCCAGGGGCTTTCCTACAGACCGACATGCCTGACGGAGAGGACGTTTACATTCGATTGGATGGAACCATGGCTGAACTACTCTGTAGAGTGAATCCAAAGATGTATAGCAAATACATACTTAACAGGAATGGAAAGAAAACACTGTTCACACAAGCCGAAAAGGCAATATACGGAACTTTAAGAGCAGCATTACTGTTCTGGGAAAAGCTGTATGCACAGCTGTGCGAATGGGGGTTCGAAATGAATCCATACAACCCATGCACTGTAAACAAGGTGATTAAAGGTCACCAATGCACTATCGTCTGGCATGTCGATGATCTGAAGATATCACACAGGGATCCAAAGGTAGTAACCTCAGTAATACGGGATTTAAATAGCAAGTTTGGCGTGGAATCACCACTGACAGAGACCAGAGGCAAAGTGCATGATTACGTTGGTATGACTCTGGATTATTCGACTCCCGGAAAAGTAATGCTTCACATGTTTGATTATCTAGAGGATGTTCTTCAGGGGTTACCAGATAGCCTCAAAGGAAGCGCCGCAACTCCTGCGGGCAATCACCTGTTTCAGGTCAGTGAACAGGCCACAAAGTTGAGTGAAGATGATTCCGCAAAGTTCCACCATTACGTTGCAAAGCTGTTGTACATGGCAAAGAGGACTAGACCGGACATACAAACTGCAATTGCATTTCTATGCACCCGGATCGCTGAACCCGACGAAGACGATTGGAAGAAGCTTAAGCGTGTTATGAGTTATCTCCGTGAGACATCGTTCCTTCCACTAGTTTTAGGCTGGGATGAGACTGGAAATGTATATTGGCATGTAGACGCAGCGTTTGCGGTTCACAAGGATATGCGAAGTCACTCTGGAGGAGTGATGACGCTGGGAACAGGAGCTGCCATAACAACGTGCACCAAGCAGAAACTCAATACAAAGAGCTCCACTGAGGCGGAAGTGGTTGGTGTTGATGATAACATGACATTCATTCTTTGGGCGCGATATTTCCTCGAAGCGCAACGCCAACATATGACGGACAATGGTGCATCAATCAACAGCAAACTAACAGGTTTGCCAAAGGATAACATCCTGTATCAGGACAATGAAAGTGCAATTAAGCTGGAGAAGAATGGCAAATCGTCGAGTACAAAGAGAACACGACACATAAACATCCGTTATTTCTTTGTGACCGACCGAGTCAAGAAAGGCGAAGTTACCATTGAATATTGTCCCACAGAAGACATCATGGCAGACTACTTCACCAAGCCTCTTCAGGGAGCAAAATTCAGAAAGTTCAGGAACGCCATACAGGGTATATCCGAGAAGGATTATACTCGTTACAAGCAGATGTATTGTAACGCCTCAGCCCTCCACAGTATCAGTCATGAAAGCAATGCAGCAGCTGCTACAGCATAGTACGTAGAGTACAGTATGAACAACAATGCGAAGCAACACAAGATTGGCGCATTGTTGAAGCACGTAGAAGCAGTACTGACATTGAGGAGTGTGTTGACGAACAGACGTCGCGCGACATGATGGAAAATAATTATATTGGCCATCATAAACATATTTGTGGAATATTTGTCAATGAGTCCTGAATGGAATTCCTGAATACAAGACCGAGAATATTCAGGATCATCAATGATCTCATTCTTTATTAATTTATCTAGTCAATAGGGTTAATGTTCCAAATCATTTCTCTTTAAGACTTTGCGTAATTCACATACCGCAAGATACGTCGATTCAACATATTGGGGTACGAATACGTATGGTACGTACCGCAAAAGTGAACGATAGATCACTACGATTACAGGTGCAAAAAATTGTGCTCAGGCGAAGGATTTTCGTACGAGGTACCGTACCACCCTGAAACGTACTGCTATGCTAGCACCTCATTTAATCTCAACTACTAGTAGTACGAATACGTACGTACTCGAAGTACGTAGTCTGTACTCTCTAGTTAGTGTCTGAACTCTGAACAAATTTGCGTACTATCATACGACCCTTTCAACCCACAAATCAACTCCAAAACTGTTAATTTTATTATTAATTTTTTGTGCTAAAAGGTGACGTTTATTCCAGAGAAGCGAAAAAAAGAAGCGCACCGAGAAGAGAATACATAGTTCTAAGGACTTTCATAGACAATAAAAGCAAATAAACAGTTAAAGGATCAGAGCGCAACCATGCTTCGAGAAAATCTTCTCATGGAGACGCTTTGGGATTGGGGAGGTCGAATGCTTGCTGGAGACGACGGACATTCCGAATTTGGCTTCCACATTGCGTTCCCCGATCTGTACTTGACTATTGTCTACTTCACCTGTATCTATCTACTCGGACAGTTTGCATCTCGTGTTCTACGGATGCCGAGTTTGGTCGGAGAAATTTTCTGCGGTATTTTATTGGGCCCGCCGCTTGCCAATATTGTTCCCAACCCAGAAGCCCTGGTCTTAATTGGTGAAGTGGGGTGAGTACTTTACAACTCGGCATCTAGTTGACTGTTTCGTTTAGCGGAATAGTCGTTGACAAAAACTAATCGTTTCCCGATTTGAATATTACAAATATTATAGGCTCATTTTGCTCGTGATTGAGGCTGGAATCGATATTGACATGGCTGTTATGAATTTAGTCGGAACGAGAGGTTTGATAATTGCTGTGGTGGGAAGTTTTCTTCCTATTGGTGTCGGTGTCCTTATTGCATGGGCTATCAACGTTGGTGATTGGAAAGCAATTATTGCTTCAGGTGCTGTGTTCGGCCCAACATCACTTGGTATTGCCTTGAACGTCTTGAAAGGGGGTAAGATTTTGTTTGAGTTTGATTGTCGCTGTAGCTTGACGAATTATTTTAGAACACTTTTGTTTTGTCTCTCATTTCATATTCTTTTCACATCGATTGTATTTGGTATACATTATTTTCTCGTATTTTCTAGGTGGTGTTCTCAATACGTAAGTTGACTCACCCATTAAATCTTTTTTTTGTCTGAGATCACATACGTCATTCTCACGTTTTCTTTTTGTGTCTTCTTAAAGTCCTGTCGGCCAAATGATTGTTGCTGCCGCTGTTGTCGACGACATGATTGCGTTGGTTGTCTTGTCACAACTTGAGGGTTTGGTGGGAGAAATCACAGTCGTTKGTATTGTCATTCCAATGGTCAGCGCCCTTCTGTTTTTGGTTATAGGCGGATATATCGCCGTCTTCGTCTTGCCAAAACTATTTTCCAGATTCATTCTACCAAAATGCCCGGAAAACTCTCGCGATAAGGTTGAAATGACAATCATGTTTGGATTGGTCCTAGGGCTCATGCCTGCCACGTATTATGCGAAGGCGAGCTACTTGATGGGATCATTCCTTGCAGGTTTGACCTTTTGTAACTCGGACGGATTGCACCATCAATTTGTGAAACAATTTAAACGTATTTTACAGTGGTTGATGCGAATATTTTTTGCTTCGACTATTGGTTTTCAGGTGCCCATTAAAGATTTTGGTGACAAAAAAATTATTTGGCAAGGTTTGGTCTTTTGTCTATCTTGGTTGATTGGTAAGGTTGCCGTGGGTTTCTTGGTACCAAACTTCAAAGTGGGGCAGAAAAAATTTACAGGCAATCATTTTCGAGATTGTTTGATTACCGGTTTCAGTATGGCAGCGGAAGGAGAATTCGCATTTGTTATTGCTGTTTTTGCCGTAGACAAAGGATTGATTAGCGAAGATCTTTACGCTAGTTTGGTCCTTGCCGTTTTGATCTCAACAATCATCCCACCGTTTGCTTTGAGGTTTACAATTAACTTTTACAACAAAAAAGGAGAAGAAGCTGTGGCCAGGGCTGCGGAACGAGAAGAAATGCGGGAGCATAGCGTAGCACTGGATTTGAAAAACGGAGACGAAGAGTTGGTTGAAGGAATAAAAAAACAAACTGAAGTTTTTCTTGTTATCCAAACCCAATCTGATTCTAGTTGGGGTCTGCTCATAAAAATCATGGGTGTCTTGGGTAAGAAAGGTTTGGATGTGATTGATCATCGTGCATGGTCCCCAAGAGGAATCAACACTACACTTGTGAATGAGGTGTATGCAGCAAGTCCCATCCGTGTGAAAGATGGGCAGACTCAGGTAGAGGCACTCGATGCGTTGATTGAAGATATTACAAATGCGATCAAGGATGCTATCGATCAAAAAAATTCAAGAGTCAAAGTTCAACGTTGGTTCCCTGGAGTGGTGGAAGAAGTTGTCGAAGAAACGAACGAAAGGCAGCACACAGATATTCGTCAACGTCTACTACATGAGGCATCATCCGCATTGGAAAGAAAAGCAAAGTTGCAGACCAGCGCTACCAAAGAAAAGACATACGAAGAAATTATGGGGATCTCGTCCACGGTCCCCAAGGTCGACGAATCGAAAGAAGAATCGAAAGATCCGGGTGATATGTCTTTCATGCAATCTGCGAGAGTTCTAGATCAGACAACGCAGCAGAAACCTCGTCGAAGACGTCTTCATAAAACTCATAGTACACCAGTGGTCGGAGGAGGACTGTTTGGAGAAACAGTTGAGGCAAGGAGCGGCAGAGATGGAAGTTCAAGATTCCGTCGCGTTAGCGATTACACGAAGACGAAGCAAGAAGATTTGAATTTCAGTCTCAAGGCATCAGGTCTGCCCGCTGAGATAACTATCAAGGGACAAGTATTCCAAATTCGAATCTCTTCAGACACTTATCGTAACCTAAAAAACGGTATGGAAGGTCAAACAACCGACAGTCGTGGTGTTCCCATTACTGGAATCGAAATCACTGCCCAGGACGATGCGCCGGTCGTTCAAAAGCTTCAAGGATTTGTCAGAAATGCAGGCCTTCAAAGAATCCAAGAAGAGTCTGAGTATTCAGCGGAGGACAGTGAAAAAGGCGCCTCGTGATGATTCAACTTTCATCGTCTTCCTTACGATCAATCTATATTGGAGATGGTGCCTACTCGTGTGCGTAGAACTTGAAGCTAGGTCAAAGAAACAGCAATTATCTAAACTATATTTTCAAATAGTTTTGACTTATTCGATGCATGGATATAAATCAGAAGCACGTCAATCATTATCGTTTTCCACGGCATTTTATTAAGTTGGTTCTTAGAAGGGTAATAGCCGTCCAATTATTCCCAAATCCAACCGCTTTTTCATGCATACAATGTTTGTAGCAGAGTTTGTCAGCTTTCCATTAGATGAAGGAAGCAGTGTTGATGCCTCTTTGTCGACCCACAACTTCTTGTATCCAAGCTTTTGATATAGTCGTACTGCAGGCTTGTTCCGTTCCTCCACATAGAGGTAGCAGTCATCGTAACCCCATTCGTAACGAACGATGCGTTCCACTTCTGTAACTAATTTTTCCGCAATTCCCTTTCTTCGAAAATCTCTACCGACCGCCAAATTCGACATCAACGGGCCACTTTTTGTATTCAGGCCTTTCAGACCTTTGTCCGGTATTGGACTAACCTCTATCCCAGCGCATCCGGTCAAATCTCCCGACGGCAACCTACATGTAACTAGTTCTGACTGACCGCGTCCAGCACCAGCATATCGCGATCGAAACTCGTAGAATTGTGAAGCAGAAAGTGTCCTTCGTTGTTTTTCGCTAAGTCTAACAACGATCCAAAATTCGATTTGGTTAGAAGCTGAGGTCGTAAAAAAAATTGAATGTTTTCGTATTTTTTTTCAATTATCGTCCAAGAACTAACAATAAACCAGTCCACATGGATCACTTACTCATTGGCCCCTCCTCCTACTTTGCCCACCCAGAAGGCATCGACGAAAAAGTCAGACGCCTCCAACAATGCTGGAATGTCGCCTTTTGTCGACGTGGTGATCAATCCCTTTGGTTGCGTTAGAAGAGCTCCGAGGCCAAAACAAACTGAAAAACTCTCGACACAATTCGCGGTCGACAACACCAAAAGGAATGCCATGTACCACAAAATGATAGGATTCCTCCTCCGAGGCATTGTCGTGGAGCCTATGAACATGGAAAGTTTTTCGGTAGAAGAACGTTTTGATTGTATCGTGGATTTTAGCATGTCGAAGATGTTTTCGTATTTAGTTTGGAACCTGATGCGCCGACGATGGTTCTTTTGAAGAGTGAGTGCTGAAGATGCTCCTGAGCCCATGTGATCAAGAAATAATATTGTACTGTAGTTTTCATTTTTCCAACTTGATACCGTACGTACGGTACAGGTATGTAAAGGTAATTGACTACATACGAGTACTGTACAAACCTGGTCGTGGTTACAATAAGGTACAGGTACGTAATCGTACCACTAATATTTCCGTAAGCCGATGATTTGTTTTCGTTTGTAGGTACTGATCTCTGATTTCAAAAAAACATGCGTGTTGCGTTTGTTTCTACAGTAATCATTTTTTTTTTTCTTTTTTCTTCTTTCTACACGTCATCAAAAATTATCGGCATGATACGGTGATTTGATGCATTCTTATTGAGAGGAGCAAACAACAGAGCGCTTTGATGTTGTTAGTGTTAGTACTGGTACCGGTAGTGTTCGCTTTCGCATTCTCGTCATGGTGAAAACTGATGCGCATGTGCGGCCCAACACGACACAACTGCGGTACACACCATTTGGTAGCAGATACACTAATAGCCAAGTGGTAGTCTACTGCGAGAAACTGTTATCGTCTTGTCATCTTTTGTAACAATTTAAGACATTGAAACGACCAAAAAGCTGGAAAAGACACATTTGATCGGAAACAATACGGAGGAGTAGTCAACGACGATTCGCACATGATGACCTTCAGCACAAAACAGATATCCCTCCTGCACTGGTTACTTCTTCTAATCATTCCAAGTTCAGAGGGATTCATATCTCCTCCACCACTCAACTCGAATAGCTGTCAGAACCAAAGGGTTGCACGCCATGCTTTTCGTCAGAACTACGACAAAACGATTGTGAAAGACCAAGATGCGTGGGCATCAAGAATTTCTACACGTCCCTCTACCGATGCAAGCACGAGCCAACCTCTGTTTGGCAGACGAAGAGCAGTGAAGGGAATGGCAGGAGCTATAGCGTCAAATTTCATTCTCCCTACACTGCCAGCTTTGGCGTCACCACCTTCATACGCCGTCCCAACGCCTGTCGATTCGGCATTCACGTCTTGGCCGCTGGGAAAGGTAGCATTTTCACTTTTACCACTAGCAGGAACTTCAACACGGAGAGCCACGGTTCAGACGACAATCATTGAGGATTCGATGTGGACACATGATCAAATTCAGGGTGTTGTCAATGTGAACGTGCCAGTTCGACAAACAGTAATTCGTCTCAAAGATGGAGGTTTATGGGTGCACAACCCAGTTGCACCGACTCCTCAGGTCATTGAGATGATGAAAGAACTAGAAAAGAAATATGGACCGGTCAAACACATTGTGCTGGGTACTGTTGCACTTGAGCACAAGGCGACGTTTGGTCCCTTTTGTCAAAAATTCCCAAAGGCTACTGTGTGGATCCAACCAGGACAATGGGCATTTCCCGTGGATATACCGATTGATGCCTTGGGTGTCAAACAAAAGGGGCAAAGACTGCGAGAGCTTCCCGTCCCAGGAAAACCAGCTACAAACTCTATTTTCCGTACGAATTCAAAATATGGACCTCCTGAATGGCAAGACGAAATCGATTTTGAAGTTTTGGGCCCCATTACCTTCCAGTCGGTAGGAGCTTATTCTGAAACTGCCTTTTATCATAAAGCCAGTAAATCCTTACTCGTCACAGATGTAGTGGTTGGAGTCGATAAGAATCCTCCCGCAATCATTCAAGAAGATCCGCGAGCTCTTCTCTTCCATGCTCGAGATAACATCACAGAAGTTGTCGCAGATACACCTGAAAACCGGGAGCGAGGTTGGCGACGAATGGTACAGTTTGGTCTTGTATTTTTCCCTTCTCAAATTACTGTTGTACCTGCGGGGGAAGCCTTGAAAGAAGCTAGCCAAGTTGATCGAAGCATGAAAAATTTGGGCGACGGGGCGGTACCAATCAACCTCTACCCATGGACCTGGGACGGAAACAGTGACGAAAAGAACTTTCAGGTGATATCGAACAATGGAAAGCTGTTTTGCCCCCCAATCTTAACCAAGCTCATTCTTGACAGAGAACCTCAACTAACACTCGACTGGGTCGATCGGGTTTGTCGACGCTTTCCCGACATGAATCGCATAATTCCTTGTCACTTAAACAATGATATCAAAATGACAGCGAAGGACTTTTCGGATGCATTTGATCCACTTCGATCTACTCCGCAAAACCTGAAGTCACAGCGACCTCTTGCAGAAGATTTAGCTCTGTTGCAGAAAGCATCCGATTTGTTGACTACGCTAAAGGTTGTCGGTCCCAGTCAGGTGTGCGACGGAGAATCAGCCAGGATAGTGGGTCGATTTGCTAGCTTGCGATAGCAAATTGTCGTGTATTACGAGGGAAAGCAGCAAGGATTCATGAATAATGATGACATTATCGTACGGGCATAATGCATCGTCCAGTATCAATAGTACTGGTGATAACTAATAGTAACAGAGTTGTCTGTTGGTAAAAATAGTATTTTACTCCTATCACACATTAGATCTTTTGAGGTTCGCTGCAAGTGGAAGTCGAAATGTCATCTTCTTACTAAAACAAGGGGTGTCTCATTCTTGTGACTTCTTATTTTCTCAAAGAAACTGCTGTTCGTTTTGTACTACAGTCTACATTAAAAAGAGCTTGTTACCAAATTTTTAGTGTTTTCACCCCCTCAGACTCCTTTTTCCATCAACTATTCCAGTCAAAAAAATATTCTAGTATTTTTTCTTTTTGACTTCCATGATTTTCCCTTCACCCCTAGCTTTTTCCTAGCTTTCTTATTGGGCCCTGGTCACGTTTTCCCAGCCAGGGAAGAAAGAGAAGCATATTGCTGGCCTCTTTGGTGCACCAACTGTTGTCATTGCAGATCTAGTATGGAATGAAATGGAACCTTCAATTGATCTCAATGGAGCTGAATTGCTGCAGCATATATTATGGGCCTTGTCATTCCTCATGGTCTATGCAACATCTGAAGATATCCATTGTGCAATTGTTGGATGGCCCCATGAGGACATTTATCAGAAGTGGTCCTGGCACTTTGTCAAAAAGATCTTTGATCTCCAGGAAGAAATAATAGTATTGCAAAATAGATTCCTTGGACAACCACAATGCCCAGAAACAGGTGAATACAGACTTAACACCAAATACATGGTGGTATATTTTGACTGGGTCAATTGACCTTGCTATGAGCACCATCCTTTCCTGAAGGATATGTATTCACCAGAAAAGTACAATGATCCAGCAATTTGATATGAGGTGTGCATTTGTATTAAAAAATCTTAATATTAGTATCACACTATAGGCTTGGCGAAGCAAAAAAAGAGGACCCAGTCATACATTGGCAATGCTGGATATACATACATGTATATCAATCAATACTATTTGGTTGTGTTTCAATCAATGAGCGTCTCGTTGTGCCATAATATTTGTCACTTCATATGTGCAATGACAGTTTGTTGTTCAAAGGCTTGTGGGCAATTGTATGTTTTAGAGTTGTGTGAGGAGAGAGTACACCTAAAAAAGATCACCATGGTGGTGGTGATTTTTTATTGGAAGTGCAGGAGGAAGGGTGTCATAACCTGTGGGAGTGATTATCTAATAGTGATGTAAATTGAGTGCTAGTAGAAGAAAAGTGAGTCGATGCTCTTATCGAGGATCAACAAACTTGTTGTCTGTAGGATATCAGACCGTAGGTATGATTCATATCTATGACAAATACATATGGAACGTATCTATGATTCATACACACCATACATATATGGCTCACTCGATCCTATGGATCCATATGATCAACATGACTCAGTTGATTCACAAGCGTGAGTGACTCGACTCATTCGATCCACACATCACTTGATCTCCACTCTGATCGGTCTTAGATTTCATTGTTTGTTTGATTCTCAATAAGAGCATTGACTCACTTTTCTTCTTGCACACTAGTATTTACATCACTATTAGATAGGTACTAGTCACTCCCATGGGTTATGACACCCTTCCAATAAAAATTATCACCACCATGGTGATCTTTTTTAGGTGTGCTCTCTCCTCATCACGCGACTCTACCAAACAATTTGTTCACACACCTTTGAACAACAAACTTGACATCAAACAACGCTTAACACATTGTCACTGTCATTGAAGCTATCACTACGCAATCGCAATAATACAATCTGTTGCAAAACGACTGCTTTGACACGACCCCCATTGTCGTTGCCCAATATTCATTGTTTTGTTGTATCAAAATTTCAAGAATCCTTCTGTCAAAACACATTCTTGCTCACCGAAACTCATTTGGCACTAACAATCCCACTTTAATTTTTAACTCCCACAACTCCCACCTGGACATTAAAAATAAATCCCACACGCGCACAAATGCATGTGCTAACACTTTTCCTCTTTATTCCCATAACACGACTGTCTCATTTTACAAGACCAACCCACGTTGCCGTAAAACTTCCCTCCACAACGATATTCAAGCTTCTCATGAAAACTGATACTTTTACAACAAGAATCGATTTACATTGATATATTGCTTCACGACAATGTCACATAAAATGTATTTTGATCCAAACCAAAATATCTTTTATTCTCAACACTGCTTACAGTTTCTCGTACAACTTTGAAAAGTATCTCAACAGCGCTCAAGATGCATTTGCTGATGTAGCCCTCTTTCTCCAAACTATCCAACTCAATATCACCAATCACATCAAACACTGTGCCATTAACACTGGTGACAAAGACTGTATCAAACATATCATGGACACCAAAACCAACCTTATGGCAGATGTTGCTAAGGACAGACGTACACGACTCAAAAACAACGCCAACACCATCACCCGTGCTCTAAACTTCCTTTCTAAGTCCGAAACCCAAAACACTTTATTCATTTACATCAACTGGTCCCCTGTCTACATTGACAACAGACAGCCAGCAAGAGACATTTATGACTTTGTGTACTTTAGTGACATTCCCTTTCCGCTTCCCGTGGTCCAAAATGACAATAACGTCCCACCTCCACTGCCAGATCCCAACATTGTCCGCCTTTTCACCCAAAGCAATGACATCCTGCATCAACAAAATGTGATGATCCAGCAACTTGCACCAAAACCAAAAACTCATACTTCAAGCATCAAACCCTTTGTCCAGTTGAACTTCTCAGCTTGAGTCATCACTCGCTACAAGCTCAACACAGTCCCGTACAAGTATCACACTCCTGATATTCTCACCGACCTTATCGATACTTCAGCAAAACCACATACCACCTCCTGACAATATCACCGAGCCCCCACAGTTCTTACTTTGTCCCTGTTGATCTTGGAATACAAAGTGAAAAGAACTTCTGCAACAACGTCAAAAAGATCACAGGTGACACAGCATACAAACTCTACAATTGGTACATGTACTTCACAACCCATTGTGCTTGTTATGGAAAATATTGTCACCCCTATCCTTGCTTTTGTTGTGCATGCAACCCCCCACATGGCTTCACCCTTGGTTTTAAACGAGAAGATGACCTTCATCTGACTTTTGAAACAAAAATATCTACTGATTCACTAATCATCTGGAATGTACTTCACAGTGCTTGCGCTTCCAAAGATAAATTCCGCCACATTGTTGAGCTCCACAATGGACATGGATATGAAGCCTTGAAAACAATCATCTGCAAAACACACCTGCTCTTAATTGAATCCCCATCCATGTTGGTCACAACGTGTCCTAGCCAAGGATCACTCTCCCTTATGGAATATTGGAAGAAATACAACCATTACATCATGCTCCGTGCCTTGGTTGGAAACAACAAACAAACAGTTTATGACAAAAATGAATGTGAATACTTGTAAACAGTTGTACTCACTCCTCAAACAGAAATACATCGTGAACAAGACTTTACTCATCTCAAACACAAAATTGAATCATCCAACTTTGTTGCTACCCTTCAACAATACCTGAACCTTCTGAATAGCCCAACCAATGTACAATCAATCTAGTGAACCCCACCTCACTGATTCAACACGTACGTTCCGACCTACAAGCGCTCTGAAACTCAAACAAAACCTGTTTCGGTAAACCAAATCCATACTTCTGATGTAGATCCTGACTTCCTTGACCTAGCCTACTCAATGTCGATCAACCAAATCAAGGCCAACCCATCATCATTCAATAGACCATGCCTCGTTTGCGATATGATGACTGGCCAAACATCTCAACATACATTCAAGCATTGTCCCATCCTTCAACAATCTAGCCTTCTTTGACAAAACTTCATCAACTTCTGTCAAATGTACAAATGCACTTAAAAATCACTTGCAAAAGCAAACGCTACTGTCAACCTACTCCATGCAGAAGAACAAATTGAAGAAACACAAATGATTGTTGACAACAAGTCTTTGCCAAACAATTTACCCCACAATGATGAAAACAAACAGGATTTTGTTTAGGGCGGACAATAAAATTGGAACCTCCAGGCCCTATACCTTCTCCGTTACCCTCAGTTCCAATCCTCCATATGCTCAATGCCTATGGATTTCATTCCCTCAGATGACATAACATGTGATATGTCATCACTTTCATCATCAAACATTGTAAAACTACCTACATACCCACATCACAATTTCACACCAACAATTGAACATGGTCCTGACATGCCTTATGCGCCATCAACAACAATTAAAATCAAAACCATCAATGTTGATCCTTCACAAAACCTGCCAAACATGCCATCCCCACCAAAAGTATACACCACAAGATGCATCACGTACACAAGATTACGAAGGCGTAAATGGTGAAACCAGTTGGATTCTTATATCTGATCACTTTACCCGGTACTCACATCCCATAGTGTCCCTTTTTTGATTCCCCACCCCTTTTTTTTATTTCACGTGCTTCACGTTTGGTATTTATGTCACATTGGTCGTGTTTTCTCCAACCAAAATCATKGCACCTCGCAAACCCAATTTTGTGTGATGCTACAGGTTGCCATAGGTTGTGACAGTGTTTAACTGTTGTGATATCCAAGTAGTTTGTATTACCAGACAACAAATCACTCCGACTTTTTACACTTTATTTTTTATTCGTTGCACCACTCAAGCAGTAAATTGTGAACACCCTGTACCACAACTATTTGTTTTTTTCTGAATTGTTGGAAACAGAAACGGAAACCAAAATCCGAACCACAACTGAAACCAGTAACAACCACTTGAATCACAATCCTGATTGTCATTCTTTGCATGTATATCCCTGTCAATTAAGATACATATTATATATGTCTCTCCACAGTGGGAGATGGTGGTCTTAACTTGTATTTGTTGGTGCGATGGTCTTCCAGACTGATTTCACTGCAAAAAAAAAACAGCACCAAACAACATTTGGTGGGTTGATGACATAAATTGTGTTTTAGTTCATCGCTGCATCACTATCTCAAAATCGACAATCAATCCTCTCCTTTACCTAATTTCAACATTCTAACCAAGATGCTAGCCAAGTTGCCAGCCGGTACTGCCAGGAAAGAGGTGACCAAAAAATTGATCAATACAAACAAGTCCATTTACACTGATGATGTTTTCCGTCTCATAGTCATCTTCCACCGCCATGAATATGTGTTGAACAAGTCATCGGAAATGTTGGATGATATTGGTGCTGTCTACTCCCTCAC